TCCTGTTAGAGTCAGCCCAGCTTTCCAATCTGTCCAGATGCCTTTGAATTGCACTCCCAGCCTCCCATGTGTCCACAGCCCTTTCCAGTTATGTCACCTACAAACTTGATCAAAAAGCTTTTTCTGCTAGCATCCAAATAATTAATGAACATGTTGAACAGCACTGGGCCCAGCACAGACCTCTGTGGGACTCCACTCGAAACCTCCTGCCATTCAGACATGGATCTGTTAATAATTACTCTTTGCTTGCAGTTATTGAGCCAGTTGTCTGTCCACCTTAGTTTTGTCCAGCCCATAGTTCTCCAATTTATATATGAGAAAGTAAAGCGAGAACTTGTCAAAAGCCTTGTTGAAGTCTAGATACACTATATTCACAGCATTCCCTTATCCACCCAAGTGGTTACTCTGTCAAAGAGAGAGATCAAGTTTGTTTGACATGATTTGTTATTAGTAAATCCATGCTGGTTTCTTATGATCAGCCTTTCCTCTTCTAGATGCTTGCGAATGGTTTTCGTTAGGATATGCCCCAGTAACTTCTCAGGTATTGAGGCGAGCCTAATCTGTTGGTAGTTCTCCGAGTCCTCCTTTTTGCCTTTTTTTAAAGAGGGGCATTACACTGGCCTTTTCCAGTCCTCTGGTACGTAGATCATCCCAAGGGCTCTGAGATCTCCTCTGCCAGTTCCTTCGATACCCTAGGATGAAGTGCATCAGGCTCTGTTGACTTGAATTCATTCAGACTCATCAAAAGCTCTGTGACTTTCTATTATTTCACCCCTAAGCTTGTCACCTTTCTTATCCAAATAATTCTTGTTAGGTGTCTGGCTGGCAGTTCCTTGTGCAGCCACATTGGTCTCTTGCCATTCCTCTTGTGCTTCCATCATGTTGGAACTGTTTCTTGTTGGGCTTCCAAAACTTTGCCCTTTAGAAGATTCCAGCCCTCCTCGGTGCCTTTATTTTGTGGGCCACCTTCCCATAGCACCATGTGTATTAATTCCTTGAGTAGGATTGTAACAGGGCACCCTAGCCCTGCCACCAGAAAGCAGGTCCGCCCCTTTAAGGCCAGAACTTTCTGGGCACGGAGTGGGAAGGGGTTAAATGCTGAGCCTGGCCAGCTAGTCAGCTGACTGGAAGGGGCAGGACTATAAAAACCCTGGGCAGAATGGCAGTAGGGATACAGTAGCCAAAGGAGAAGGAGTGCCTCTGAGCTCCACAGAGAAGCTGGGTGAGTGGTCCAAAGGCAAGAACTATGGAAGCCACGGAGAGATGGCAGCCGCACCACAGCAAGGACTGTAGCCAACGGTGGGGAGCTGAAGCACAAACCCTGCGAATGTCAGCTGACATGCTGCTTTTCGTAATCATATTTGCTAGGGCAGTTATTACGCACGGACGGGACTGTTTATTTTTCTCTTTTTGATTATTGAATAATACTAGTGATTTGGGTGAGGCTATTAGAGGAAGGAGGAGGCCTCGTTTTTGGGGCCCACTATGGAGTGGAGACCTCGGTGCCAGTGAGGGCGTGGTTTTTGGAGGGTACATAGATCCCGGTGCCAGTAAGGGTGCAGGATTTTGGGGTGCATTGACCCCAGCACCTGAAGACACTATCTTAAAAAGGCCAGGGAGTTCTGGTGCACCTGGGGTGCAATTTTATTTTATTTATTTTTGGACTGGGAGTGTGTGGGTTCGGGGCTGTCCCCAGGCCCTGAACTTGCGGCCCCCTATTTGTGGGACCAGCGGCCGGGCCTCTGGGACAGAGGGGCCAGGCTCCAACCTGGAGCAGGAAAGGGGGCCACGAGCCTCCAGATGCCGGAAAAGGCTAGAGTCTCAGAGTCAAACCCTGTTTAGTGGGTTTACATGGGGAGGCCTAGCTAGAGAAAGACGGGGGTCAGGCCTGCGTAGGTGGAAAGCCCCAACATACAAAAAATTATGATAAGCAGTCTCCCGCTCGCAAGAACATCGTCATAATAATTTTCCATCAAGATGTGGCAGGCGAAGAGGGCGGGACATAAGAACTTCAAGGAAGACTCCAAGGGTGCCCCACGTAAGGCACGGATTACCAGAGATGATGGTGCTGGGGTGGGTGACCTGTTACAAGGATGAAATCTGCCTTTTTGAAATCTAGTGTCCTAATTTTGTTGACCTCACGCTTTCCCCATCTCGGATCTCAGGATCTATCATATCTTGATTGCTTCTTCCTGAGTTGTGCATCACCTTCATATCCTCCAACAGTTCTTCCCTATTGGACAAGCTCCAAGATAGATGATTCCCTAGATGTACCCTCCACCTACTGGAACAGAAATTTGTTCTCCACACAAGTTAGGAACTGGCTCAACATTTTACGTTTGGATACATAGTTCTTTCAGCAGAGGTCCAGAAAACTGAAGTCTCCAATCAGTACTATCCCAGACCTTTTGGATAGATTTTTCACCTCATTGAACACTATTGTTGATTTGGTGGCCTATAATAAATTCCCACCATTATATTGGTACTGCATCTTTTACCTATCATCTTCACCCAAATGCATTTGGCTATGCTGTTGTCTTCCTCTTGAACCTGGGAACAAATGCGTGTTTGACATACAAGATGACACCACCACCTCTTCTCCCAACCCTCTCTTTCCAAAACAAAGTGTAACCCTCAATTTTAATGTGCCAGTCATAAGAGCTGTTCCAAAAGGTCTCTGTGTTACCAATCAGCTCATAGTTCTTTTCACAGGCTGCAGCTTCCAGCTCATCTTGTTTATTTCCCCTACTTCATGTAGTTGTATACATACCTCAGACATATTTTGCATTTTGACCTACTTCCTTCCCTTTAGCACCACTTGTTGCTATCCTATGGTTCTTTCATTTCTTTCCCAAAGTGGAGTTGCTTCTTTGGTCCCTTTCCCCTCTGGATTGTTTGCTCTGTTGCTGGAGGGTTTTGATTAACCTAGTTTAAAGTCCTCCTTGCTAGGTTGGCTAGATATTCTTTCTAGTTCTTGTCAGATGGATCCCATCTCTTGATAGCAGTCCTCCACCCCAGAACATTCACCTGCTGTTTTGAAGAATCCAAAGGCTTCACATCGATATCACCATCTCAGCCATATGTTTACTTCCAGGATGCAATGGTCCCTGCCTGGGCCCTTGCCTTCCACAGGGTGAATCAATAAGAACACCACTTGTGCTCCAAGCTCCTTACTTCTCCTGCCAAGAGCACCATAGTCATCTCTGATCCGCTCAGTGTTGTTCCTTGCAGCATCACTGTACCTACATGGACAAACAGGAAGAGGTAGTGGTCTGAAGGATGGATGAGCTTTGGCAGTCTCTTTCTGACGTCCTGAATTCGGGCTACTGGAAGACAGCACATCTCCTGGGACCCCAAATCCAGATGGCGAATTGGTGCCTCTGTCCCCCACAGAAGGGAGTCACTAATCCTCAACACTATTCTTTTCCTTCCTTCTTGCAGTGGTCTTAGAGCCCCTGTCCCTGGGGCTTTGCACTTCCTGCTCTTGAGACTGCTGGGTACTCTGCATCATGTCTGAATATATCCTGTCCTTTGCTTTTTCTCACCTCTTCCACTGAAGAATACTTGAAAGCAGATGCTGACTATAGTCTGTTCCGCTTCAAATGTGGGGGCCCTCCTCATTCAAGTGTTCACATACTGCCACTTCTTCTTATTTCCCTTTGGTATCTCTAGTACCAGTCTCTCAACTTCTGTCCAAGTAATCTTCTTTTTTCTTGATGCAATGCAGTGCAGATACTTGTGCTGCCAACATCTGAATCTTTTCCTCCATGCATGTTCCTTTTCGGAGGAACATGAATGTGGCACATCCCATGCAGGTCACGACTGCTGAGCCAGCCTCCATTTGTACCTCCTTTGCCCCCTGGAGTACACACAAGCTGTAAAGGAGCTGGAAAAAAAGGAAGGTGGGGAAGAAAACCACACGAGAATGCACACACCAAACACCCATACCAGGGTCCTTGCCCGTGCTCTCACACAGAGTCTCCTGCTCCCTGGCTTCCTCCTCAGGTCTTCGTTTGCTACCTTCTCTTCACTGGGGGGCCACCTTTTTTATAAGGCAGCCTAATCTAGTTTCACCCCTCACTTAGCTAAGCAAGCCCCACAAAGAGCAAGCCAGGTCAATCAGTCACTCCAGGGAGGAGAAAAAAGGGAGAAAAACATACACACACCTGACAGGAAAAAACCCCACATGCAAGCACTCAAGCACCAATTACGCACCCAAAGTCACTAGCTCCCAGAAATGTCTCCTGAAGGCAGTCCAGTCCCACTACGGAGCTGTTTACCACAGAGTAGCTGCTCTCTGCTTGCTTCTCTGTCACTATTGCCACAATTTGTAGGCCTGCATCTGTAATTGGGCGCAAGAAGCCAACCCCCAGTGCCCATGAAGTCCCATGCTTCAAAAGAGCTTGACATAAGAGGCCTCTTGCATTTCTGCACAACCCCGCTGAAGTTTGTAGGAGTCCCTATGAGCATACAGGTTTCCTACCTGGCTGCAGTTTCAGAATCAGAAACTTAATTTCATCTATGGCTCCTTTTTTTTTTATATTGAGCTCGTCCCATCTGCTCTCTGACCTTCTCTTGACCATTCCTGTTCATCACAATAACAAGGTAATATAGTTGAAAATGCTTTTGATTTGAACTGGATGTCTTTTACACCAGGTATTGTCATAGAAGTTATAAATCATTTAGATCTTGGAAATGGAGGATATAATTATCAGACAGAGGATGTATCCACCACTGAAATGCTATTACACTTTAACTTTAGGGTTTACTATTTGAATTGAACAAGGGTTATTCATGATGACTACAACAAAGGACACTTGTGTATAACCACAAAAGCCATGTGTATTTTGAACTACCATTTATAAATAACTCTTATAAACACCAGAATGAAATCTTTAGTGCTTTAAACATAAGAGACACCGTGAAAATGAATCTGGTA